CTCTTTCGTTCTTGAAACATATTAAGCGCTTTCCAAGCGATCCAGAAGCAAAGCCGCGCAGAGTTTTAGTTGTTTTCAGTTCAAAATTATGAGTTCGGGCATCGTATTTCCCCGATTTTTGAAACCGCCGATCAAGCTCAGCGCTTGACATTTCTCTGCAAAGGAAGAATATTTTCATGTCTGTAATCGTGGTTGTTTTATATTTCATTTTCTCGAGAAATTTAGACTGCCGTGTATGTACATAGTCCTTTGGGATCTCTACGCAGACCCTATTGGCCTCCTCCCACCAATAGACCCCACACACTACAAGCACTGCAATTCAACCCTCCCCACCTTCCTCTGCGTAGGTACAAATACCCGCATTAAGTTCTGTATATTTGCCTAGCCCTGTATATATGTTCCAATGTTTGCTGAAGAAGGCCGACGTGCCGAAACGTTCGAATAAAGAGTAGGAATACTAGTTGCAAGTTGTGTGCCTTTTTCTTCAATTTATTTATATATTCAAAGAAGACACCTTGGAATCCTTTGGATCCTTGTAACTAGACGTGGTAGTTGGCCAAGACAATTATTTTTACATTTTTCTGGATTATCTTTGGTATGTTCCAATGTATATATATCTACATAATCTCCCTATATATATACATTTGATATTATTTTATTCGGAGTGTCTAAACGTCATGCAGTCTAAGTTTTTCTTATAAAATCGTCGGAACAACCGTAATTTCAATTAATACAACAAGGGAAATGCAATTAAGACCGAAATAATAGTAGTATAAAAGTACCGGTTCTGGGACACTTCCACCCATGGGTGCGGGTGCGTGGGTGCCCACCCCCCTCCCTCCCCAAGGTGACGTCATCGGTATTTTTGTTGATGACGTTATGACGTCACATCTATTGTTTGAAACGTGGAGTCGGAAGTTGATACGTCATCTATTTTCTCCAAAAGAGGAGTTGGATTCGATGACGTCATTTTTTAAATTAGAGCGCTGACTCATCGCTTTTTCAACTGCCGACAAAAGGATAGGATCGTATACAGAAGAACTTCAAAAGAATTCATGTCTCCAAGTGTGGAGGTTCAAGCCTTGTTTGATAGCTATAAAGATCCAGAGGTACTCGATGGAGACAACAAGATCAAGCGGGACCACATTTTAGAGTTTTTAGCGGAATGGATGGAAATTATTACTAATTTTAATTAGAAATAATTTAAAAAAATACAAATGAAACATTGTTGATTGCAGGTGACGTCATGACTATTTAGAGATGGTGAAGTTATGACGTCATATCTATTTTTTGAAACGTGGAATTGGAAGTTGATATGTGATATCTATTTTTAGAAACTTGGAGTCAGGAATGACATAATTTTAATGTCTAAATTTAGAAAATGCTAACGAAGGTTTCAGTATATATATAACTCGTTAAGTGTTAGAAACAAACTATTAAATGAGAAGAACAAACCTTCAAGATGTCAACAAGTCAATCAACTAATGAAGACTTAATCAAACTTGGCGAGCGCGCCTACTATACGAAAGTGAGCAGATTCAATGAACGAGTTTTAATTCACATCAGAAAGTACTACGAGCCAGAAGAGAAGGCTGCAGAAGGTCCATCCCTCCACCCATCAAAGTTTGGTGTGGCTTTGAACATAGGCGAATGGAATGACCTTTTGGAAGCAGCACCCTCCCTAAATGAATCAGTTGGACATTATTCCAAGTTGTCGAGAGAGTCTGAGGAGAAATCAAAGTGTGGTCCTGAGAAAGCCAAGAAATCAGTTCATTTTAAACCATATAATAGAAAAAAGCAATAACATAATTACGTTTACGGCGCTATGACGTCATATCTATTTTTAGAAACTTGCGGTTATGACATCATATCTATTTTTAGAAAGTGACGTTTTCGATGACGTCATATCTCAATGAGATGGTGACGTCATTGATGTTTATATATTTAGAAAGTTTTTAGTAGCACTTTCAAGCATTCATCATTAGTTGAGATTATTGTTGAAGAAGATGGCAACCCTCGAGCAAATCAGAGAAGAGATGGAAAAGGATATTTTTGACTATGATGATTATATTCAAGCGGGGTCTATAATAATAATAATAATAATAATAATAATAATAATAATAATAATAATAATAATAATAATAATAATAATAATAATATGTGGTATTTATATAGCGCCGATATCCTCTGAGTTCAAAGGCGCTTCACATGTATAGATCATTACACACGGACCGCTGTTTAAGGCGCAATTGGCAGCCATGCGGCTTACAATCATGAGGGGTTAGTAATTAGTATGGGTTAGTAGTAAGGCCTAGCCACACACACCGGGAATCATTCCCTACTCTTATGCGAACAGTGGTGTGGGTTCTTTAACGTCCCTCTAATAGAGGTTAGTGAGTGAAGTGTAGAGAGACGGGACCTCCGATTTTACGTCGTTATCCGAGAGGACGAGAAGATCTTACCATTTGCAGATGGAGAAAGACAAAGGCAGCAACTTCTCCTCAATTATTTTAAGACCCTGAGTGTTGGTCCGGCCGGGGTTTGAACCTGCGACCTCCCGCACTAAAGTCCGATGCTCTACCTACTGAGCTAACCGGTCGGCGGTTANTCGAATTCTCCCAACCTACCCTCGTGTTTGCATCAGGCTATGTAAACACGGAAAAAGTTATCTATTACTTAAGTGGTAATGCATGGTTGAAGGGGGATGGTCTGATACAGAGATGGTTAGTAAATTTCACTTCATCCACAACTCTAGTATGTCATCACCTTATTCTCAGTACCCAGTTTTCAATTTCCACCTCACCTTCTCACTGCTAATTTCTGAAAAGACCCTTATTTCGGTCTTTATTCCATTTCTCCGCTTGTGATATTAAGACTTTTCACACAAAAAATCGACTGCCTGACGTTTAGTTCTGGGACTAAACGTCAGGCAGTCAAAAAATCTCAAAGTGCCGTGCTTGTGACCGGGGCTTGTGACTATACAAACTTGTCCAATAGTATTATTTCGGTCTTTAGTGCATTCCCTTGTTGTATTAATTGAAATTACGGTTGAACCGACGATTTTTCAAAAAATACATCGACTGCCTGACGTTTAGTTCTGGGACTAAACGTCAGGCACTCGAAAAATCTCAAAATGCCGTGCTTCCTGCGTTTGAAACTTGTCGAACAGTATTATTTCGGTCTTTAGTGCATTTCGCTTGTTATATTAATTGAAATTACGGTTATTCCGACCATTTTTCACAAAAAAAATTACTGCCTGATGTTTAGTTCTGGGACTAAACGTCAGGCACTCACCCGGGCAGTCAAAAAATCTCAAAGTGCCTCGCTTGTGACTATCCAAACTTGTCGAACAGTATTATTTCGGCTCTTTATTGCATTTCCCTTGTTGTATTAATTGAAATTATGGTTGTTCCGACGATTTTTCACACCAAAAATCGACTGCCTGACGTTTAGTTCTGGGACTAAATGTCAGGCAGTCGAAAATGTCAAAATGCCGTGCTTGTGTTTGAAACTTGTCGAACAGTATTATTTCGGTCTTAATTGCATTTCCCTTGTTATATTAATTGAAATTACGGTTGTTCCGACGATTTTATAAGAAAAACTTAGACTGCCTGACGTTTAGACACTCCGTATTTTATTATCATTATTTTCTTTCTTTTATTCTTCTGTTTATTCGTCTATTTCTTAGGTCTATCATTTGTTTTGTATTTCTATCTCTTATCTAAATATTCTAGTCCCTCTAACAATTTCTCTTACTATTTCTAATTATTTCTAATCATCCCTCCCTCACCCATCCCCCTCATATTACATCTCATCACTCACACAGACAAATTATCCTACACAGACAATCTATCACCTACACAGAAAAATTTCGAAGTGCCTCAAATGACTATTTCGTATTCTGTGCCGAGGACAAGGAATTTGCTGAATTTCAAATCTACTGAGTTCACGGCAAGCGCTTGACAATTCTCAGTGAATATAAAACGGTTTGATACATTCAATCGTAGCGGTTTCATTGATTTTTGTGAGAAAAATAGACTTTTAGTCTTTTGCGACCAAACTTATGGCCTGGGATGACGTCACAAGAGTCGCGCCAGTCCCCGCTCGGACAAAAGAATTTGACGCACTTAATTTTGGCTTTATTTTTCCGATTTCGTCCCAACCGTTTACAAAATAGTCACCAAACTTTCACAGAAAGTCTTACAAGGTTCTTAAAAATTGTTTTAGATAATAAAAAAAAAAGATCGTGAAGGTGCACTTTAAGATATNATATCAATGTAGGATTTCAATCCATATTCATCTACCTTAACATTGTCAAGTCTCAAATTGTTGGTGATGTACAAGCAGCTCTTCTGCGCACTGTACCTGCTCGAGGTCGAAATGGTGAAGTCATCACCATCAATTATGATAACCCTCAGTTCATCCCTGTTGGAACAAAAGACTTTGAAATTCTCGAACTATATTTAACCGATGACACCGGTACAAAGATTCCATTTGAACGTGGTCGCGTTGTGATAACGTTAAACTTTCGACGTCGTCGTTCTCCCTTCTTTTAATAACACACAAAGAGGTGTGAAAGAGGTTGAAAATGATAGTTTTTCACGGCGCTCCTTTTCAGAGAGGTTATGGAATTGGAAGTTTTTTTGCATCACTAGCAAGAAGGACCCTTCCCTTATTCCATCAAGGAGCAAAAGCCTTAGGTCGAGCTGCAATGAAAACTGGTGTGAATGTCGCTCAAGACGTTTTGGCGGGAAAAAATCTTAAAAACTCAGCAAAATCCAGGGTACGGCAAACCGCTCAAACTTTGAAAGAACAGGCCTTGAATCGCCTCTCTACTCAGACTGGAAGTGGAGGAAACGGTATAAAACGAAAACGACAACAGAAAAAGTTCAGAACCTCCCCGACTGGCAAAGTGAAAAGAGTTAAAAAAGCAAAGCAAGCACTGGGGAAGGTTAAAAAATCTAAAGTAACCCACCTTAAGGATATATTTGATAAGTGAAATGGCCTTCGTTCATCCAAAGTCTTCTCCATGTTCCAAAAGTGAATTGGACTTATTCACAGTACCACCAACTCAAGTAGATGTAGAGAAAGGGTTTTGGATAGACATCAGACCTGTGGCTACAATCGCCCATCTMAGTCCAATCGAGTTCCAGATTGTGGGAACAGAAAATTATCTTGACTTATCCAAAACCTTGTTTTTTGTCACCTTGAAAATAACCAAAGCCAATGGGGCTGACCTAGGCGACAAAGAGAAAGTRGCATTTGTTAATTTGCCTGTGCAAAGTTTATTCAAACAGGTGGAACTCTACCTCAATGGTGTTTTAGTCACAAAAGCTTCAGGAACTTATAGTTATAAAAGCTACATCGAAACCCTCCTCAACTATGGTCCAGCAGCAAAGAATTCAGCCCTCACAGGATCTCTCTTCTACAAAGATACAGCAGGTTCTATGGAGGCCACCGATCCTACAAGTGGCGGAACAAATCAAGGACTTAAAACACGTTACACATTTACAGAGCAGAGTTACATTTGCGACATGTGGGGACCATTACACTGTGATATGTTTTTCACTGAACGTCTTTTGCTAAACAATGTGAACGTCACCGTTAAACTCATTCCTAATACACCTGCCTTCGCCTTGATGTCTGGAGAAACCTCTCCCAATTATAAAGTCAGCATCCAAAATGCGGTTTTGAAGGTTAGAGCTGTCAAAGTTAGCTCTGAGACTCAAGTCAAACATTTGAATCAGCTGAATAAGGGTATCAATGCGAAATACCCCATACGTCGCGTTGAGTGTAAAACCTATACCATTCCTAGTGGAAATCCTTCTATTCACATAGGGGATATATTTAATAAAAATGTACCTCAACNAACTTATGGCCTGGGATGACGTCACAAGAGTCGCGCCAGTCCCCGCTCGGACAAAAGAATTTGACGCACTTAATTTTGGCTTTATTTTTCCGATTTCGTCCCAACCGTTTACAAAATAGTCACCAAACTTTCACAGAAAGTCTTACAAGGTTCTTAAAAATTGTTTTAGATAATAAAAAAAGATCGTGAAGGTGCACTTTAAGATATTTTATGCAAATATTTCACAAAGGATGCTCAATTGTATGTTTTAATCAGAGAAAGATAATATTTGTATTACAATAGTGTTCTGTTACATCTGCGGGTTGTTAACGTCTTCTTTAAAAACGATTATATGTYTTCATTAAGAAATTAATTGATAACTATGGTACGAAGTGTTCAATTATTCAAAACTAACATTTCTTGCTATGGGATYTTGTCAGTAGTCGTATTGCAGTCTCCTCCAGATATCGTCCTTACTGATGCTCCTTTTTTTCGAAGAACATTGTGTTTGACAATTCTTTAATTGTGTAAAACAAGCCTTAGTATTTTGATTTTCTGCAAAGAGACAAACATGGTGTTCATCATAACAAGCTTGAAGACACTTATCGGCGGAGGCTACCAGGGATATCGTAAGTACTACCACGGCTATGAAGTACCACGTTTTCATCTGTTGAAAAGAACCATAAATTTTAAAAACATCGAGGCTCTAGTACATTTTCAATAGTGGTCATTTCAGTTTGTTTTGGTATTCAACAATAATGGACCACTGCATGAAGAAAAAAATACGATATAAAAAAAATAATAAACGAGTAAGAAATATCAAAAACATAATAAAGAACTGATTTAACTGTTAAGATTCTAGCGGCACAGACTTGCATCATAATGAGTTTCGCCTTCCCGGCATCCTCAGTTCTTTTTTTTTTTTACTTATATTTGCATAACAAGGCCTATATGGTCTCCCGTGCGAGTCGGAACGTTCATTGTAAATGTTCAAATGTTACAAAATCCATTTTTTGACAAACGGATAAACACTCGARAACATTGATTACGGAAACTTGCAAATTGGTGCCAAATCAATGCTCTGCGCGATGTTGCGCGGACATGCGCCTTACAAATTGCCTATGTGCTACCATTGCTTGAACAATATTGCTCGGTTCCAGCTTTCCTCGTTGTCGTTGCTTTTCAGTCACAAATTGTCCTCCTTCTAAGTGCACTTGGTGCAAATTTCAAACCTATCACATGACTTAACAATATTCAATGTAATGGCAAGTGTAACGATGAAAGACATGGATTCGACCTCTACAAGTGYGCTCAAATCACTTTCAAATCCACACCATTCGCGGTATGGCCATACTAAAAGATGTCGAGCGTTYCTCGAAATGGCATTAGAGAGATACTGCGAATTTATCGTGAAATTTATTTCACTGCCTATCGTGAATTATTTATCAAACAAGCTACCTATCTTATCAAAAGAGAATTTATGAAACAGAACTCCGAGATCACGCAGCTGTATGCGTCTAGCTTGACCGGTACTGACAATGGACGATGCGAAGAATTAACTTAGACAATTTTTGTTTTTAATCGACTTCAATATTGCTTATTCTCGATGTGGTCATCAAATATGCATTAAATAATTGATTTTTATCCCCATAAACTGCTAAGGGATTCAATAAAAGCTTTTACAAGAAATTGTTTAAACAATTTAAACTGCATTCCATTCTAA